AGGGAGCCCGATGTGGGACTCGATCCTGGGACTCCAGGATCATGACCTGAGCCGAAGGCAGTCGCTTAACCAACTGAGCCACCCAGGCGCCCCGGCACTAAGAAATTTCTTAAGAAATATTACATATTTGAAATTTTAATGAAATTTATTTAAGATTTTTTTATAGTACGTATTGGCCAAGTTTGCTACTTAAGTAAAAGTTAGTCGGGATTAAAGATTTTTTTAATAAGTCAAATGAAATACCTAAAATTGTCAGTCTCATTAAATGGTTAAATTTCATATTTGATCTAATTTGTTTTTTTCTATTAATACATTTTTCCCCCCTTAGAATCATTTTTCCCATCCAGATATCACAATTGCCATTAGAATCACTTCTTCACCTTACTCTTTTTGGAATTTTAAATCAGAGCAGTGGAAGTTCCCCTGATTCTAATAAGCAGAGAAAGGGGCCAGAAGCTTTGGGCAAAGTTTCTTTACCTCTTTTTGACTTTAAACGGTAAGTGTTACTGAATTGTGATGGTGAGTTACTGTGGACACATCTGCAACATCAGAATTGGCTAGAGAATGGGGTGGGGAACAATGACATATATGAGATAATTTGCTTCTCAGTTTTTCCAGTGTGATAAAAGGAGGTTATTTCAGAGACACAGATCAGAAGAAATCACAAAGTTATTTTGCTATAGTTTGAACATATCTATCTGGGTGTTTAGAGGATTGTTTGCCACTCACTATTCCAGGAGAAAAGCAGCAGCCAGTTCACTCTCTGTCATTTATGCAAAGTACTATGTTATTGACATAATAGTCATGGTCTTATAAGTTTCCTTAATACCAATAAAACAATTACCATTTTTTCTCTTCTCATACTTTTCCCCATTCTTCTCCAGTTTCAGAGTCTACAACTACACCTTATTTCCTTCTCTTTACCTGACTGATATACCCTTACTGCTGTGGGCCCCTGGCCTTTAATCTCCAAAAGTCTCTCATGTACAAAACCTTATTGATCTTTAGGGGTAAGGAATTCCTTTTGAGCCTTGTGTCTAATAGCCACTGGGGTAGTGTAATCTAACTGGCCTTTCAACTGACTATTTTAATTATGTTTTAAATAGTAGTATGTTCCATGAGACTGTCAAGCGTCTATCTAAATGGAAAAAAAAAAATCAATTGAATAAGCTCCAGATATGTTTCATACAGTACACAGTAACATTTTGCCCAGTGATAGCACATTAGCATATTAAAGTATCTCTAAAGTTCTGCAGTCAAGAAGCCCATTGTGTTTAATAACAGTATTACTATGATGACAAATGCATAGCATTTATGCTATGCTATGTGAAGGAGGGAAATTGTGTTCTCAATTGTGATAAATTAGAGTCTGGGAACAATTATGTGAGAAAATTAAATGTAATTGCATCATTATCATTAATTTTTATAAATAAGTCTGTTCTGGGGCACCTGGGTGGCTCAGTCAGTTAAGCATCTGCCCTCAGCTCAGGTCATGATCCCGGAGTCCCAGGATCGAGTCCCACCTCAGGCCCCCTGCTCAGCGGGGAGTCTGCTGTTCCCTCTCCCTCTACCCCTCCCCCTGCTCCTTCTCTCTCTCTCTCTCTCACTCTTCAAATAAATTTTTAAAAATAAGGCAGTTCTGAAAACCTTACTGAAAACCAGGGATCTTTGCTTCATTAAAGAAGTACCATCACTTTTTGCCACTTTTATTGTCTAGTAATAAATGGGTTGTTTTTTGTTTATTTTTTGGGTTGTTTTTTTTTTTTAAGATTTTATTTTTTTAATTTTTTTATTTTTTATTTATTCATGAGAGACAGAGAGAGACAGAGGCAGAGGGAGAAGCAGGCTCCCCACGGAGCAGGGAGCCCGATGCGGGACTCGATCCCAGGACCCTGGGATCATGACCTGAGCCGAAGGCAGACGCTTAACCGACTGAGCCACCCAGGCGTCCCAATTTTTTGGGTTTTTTTGATGAATGATATAACACTCTTTAAAAATTCAAGAGAGTAAGATGAAGGGCAGTTGACTTTTGTTAGACAAATAGTTTGCATCCAGCACTCTGCTGTTAAAACAGTGAGCAGATGGCATTAAGCTTGAGACTTTGCCAAGTAGTGCAGTTGATCTAGGTAGGTCATGTTAGGTCTTAGCATTCAAAAAATATTCAAAGGGAAGATGGTTAAACATTAATATAAAGTGTTAATGATTTAATTCAGTTAGCTTACTGTAGTATAGTGATCAGAAATCCTGGTCTTGAAATTCTTTTTTTAAATGTATTTATTTATTTGTTTGTTTGTTTGTTTGACAGAGAGAGACACAGCAAGAGAGGGAACACAGGCAGGGGGAGTGGGAGAGGGAGAAGCAGGCTTCCTGCCGAGCAGGGAGCCTGGTGTGGGGCTCGATCTTGAAATTCTTTTAAAAAATAACTTATGTTGGGGTACCTGGGTGGCTCAGTCAGTTAAGTGTCTGTCTGGCTCAGGTCATGATCCCATGGTACTGGGATGGAGCCTCGAGTTGGGCTTCCCTGCATAGCAGGGGATCCTGCTTCTCCCTCTCCCTCTGCTTGTATGCTCTTTCTCTCTCTCTCTTGCGCTCATGCTGTCTCTCAAACAAATAAATAAAATCTTAAAATAAAAATAATTTATGTTTAAGGTGCAACCTGCATACAACCTGATGAAGTCACTCTCAGGGGGAAGCCAAAAAACTTAGAGGCATTTCAGTCAGCCTCAATAACAAATGAGTTCTTAACTCATTTTTAAATAAACAGAGTCAAGCATTTAACCTGCCTTTCCTTTACAGTTGTATTTCAGGCTTACCAAATAATTGATGTGAGAAAGTTAATAGAAAAATTCCAGCTAATAGATTCTCAAGAAATGATAGAGTATCACAATTTTGTAACCCCTCCCGAAATAATAGATTTGGGCAGGGTTCTTCAGTCTTGGCACTACTGATATTTTGGGCCAGATCATTCTTTGCTGTGGGAGACTGTCCTGTGCATTGTAGGATGTTTGGCAGCATCCCTGTCTTCTGCCCACTATTTGCCAATAGTACCCCCTAGTTACCAACCAAAAGTGCCTCCAGACCTTGCTGGGGGCAAAATCACTCTTGGTTGAAAACCATTGATTTAAGCCGTGATTATCAATGCTTGCTTAACACCATTAAGTGATTAACTTTTCTGGAACTTTATAATGGGTAGTTTAGACTGACTGGGCCCAGACAGACTGATTCTCTTAACTTCACAGAAAGAGAGAGAAACCAAACAGTGTGCCTTTTTATTTGATTGATATAATAGGAAGTAGTATACAATTCTACCTTTATTAAGTATTCTTGCCAGATAACTAAACCTGAATCAGATCAAGCCTCTAGATCTAACTACTACTTTATGAAAATGTAGGAGATAAAGGGACATCCTAAATGACACTAGAGGAATGCAATCAGTAAAATCCAGGATATAAGAAAATTCTTAGAACAAAAGACCTGATTTCCTCAACAAATGGTGGGGATAAAAAAGAGAGGAATAATGTAGAGGTAAAAATAAGAGTCAGCAAACTTTTTCTGTAAAGAGGGACCAGATAGTAGTTTAGGCTTTGCAGGTCATAATACAGTTGATGCTTGAACAGCATGGGGGTTAGCAGTGCCTTTCCTCTCCACCCAACCCCCCATGCGGTCAAAAACATGCAAATAACTTTGACTCCCCAAAAACTCAACTACTAGCCTGCTGTTGACCAGAAGCCTTATTGATAACACATAGTTAATTAACATGTATTTTGTATATTAATATGTATTACAGTGTATTCTTATAATAATGTGAGATAGAGAAAAGATGTTATTAAAGTCGTAAAAGAAAATACATTTATAGTAATGTATCAAAAAAACCCTTGTACAAGTGGGCCTGTGCAGTTCAAGGGTGTTATTCAAGGGTTAACTGTAATCTCTCTCACAAATGCAAAAGCAAAGGCAAAAAGCAACAATAATCAATATGTAAATGAGTATGGCTTCCTTCTGATAAAAGTTTATTTACAAAACCAGGTGACAGGCCTCCAGTTAGGCCCTTAAATTAAAATATACTTTGAAAGACGTCAACCAAATGCAATGTTGGAAGTTGCTTGGATCTTTATTTGAACAACCAACTGTAAATAAATTTGTGAGACAATCCAGGAAATTTGAATACTGACTAGATAACTGATGATTTTAAGTAATTATTGTTAATTATTTTAGGAGTGATAATGGTGGTATACTTATTTTAAAATAAAACTGTTTATTGTTTAGAGAGATATAAAAGTATTTACAGATGAAATAATATCAGAATTTGCCTTAAAATCGAGTTGGGGGTGAGGGTGGATCTGAAAAGAATATAATGTGTCGAAGATTTAAAGGCTGTTAACTTTCAAGAGAAAACATTAAGACTAGAGTCTAGTTTTGGAAAGTCTATTTGAATAAAATGAATAAAGTTTTTTTTTTTTTTTTTAAAGTAAAAGCAGCTCTGACCTAAATTTTTTTTTTTTT